TTTCTAGGTTGAGAGGACCTTGGGTATTGAGGCTGCTAGATCCACCATCATCAATGAGATTCAGTACACCATGGTGAACCACGGAATGAGCATTGACCGGCGTCACGTCATGCTTCTAGCAGATCTCATGTCCTATAAGGTATGATAAATACACATCTTGTCTTCATATTGTTTGCGTAGTTACAAGTAATTTCACATGTATTCATACTGTTTTCTGTCCATAAAGGGGGAGATATTGGGAATCACCAGGTTCGGTTTAGCCAAAATGAAGGAGAGTGTCCTCATGCTGGCCTCCTTCGAGAAAACAGCTGATCATCTCTTTGACGCCGCCTACTTCGGACAAAAGGACTCTGTCTGTGGTAAACTGATGCTTCATTTCTGTGATGAAATTGCACTTTATTCTTTGACTTAATTGGGTCTTAACATTTCCTGTGTGTTTGTGTTTAGGTGTATCTGAGTGCATCATTATGGGGATTCCAATGAACATTGGAACAGGACTATTTAAACTCCTACACAAGGCTGACAAGGATCCCTCTCCTGTCAAAAGGCCTCTCCTCTTTGATAGTGCCGACTTCCATATACCTCTGTTCACATAGCATCAAGGAAAGAAACGGCAGCGGTGTGTGAAATTTGTGAATTTCCCAGAGCCTGTTGTCTATAGACATTTTAAGATTATCTTCAGCAAATAGAGAAGTGCCTGCCACAGTGTCGGATCATTTCCTGTTTGGGGAATTACCAGAAAAGGAGGTTGTCTTCTTTTTTGCTGCGATGTTGTTGCTGACGCCACAGACTCTGAGAATGCTGCATTTAATTTTACAAAGCAAGTTTGTTAGCATGCAAGAGTTGCAGAGAGAGTGGAGTTGCTTATTATTTCAGTTTCAATCTTGTAATCTGTGAGGAGAATACAGAAAATTTAAGATGCTTGTTCTTTTCTGGCTTTTTACTTGTTTATTAAACTGTGTTTTCTCGGTTATTAAGAAGTTACATAATATGTTCCCTCAATGTAATGACATTGAACACTGTGAGAAATCTTTTTGCCGGCATTTTGTATGTATAACATAATTCAGTTATATAAACGTGTGCAGCAGACTTGAGAATACTTCTTAATCATAAAGCAGACTTGATCTCTTCTGTACGGGCACTTATTTTTACATAAGGACTTTTTCTCATTCACACTGCAAAAACCAGTTCAGTTTATCTTTTTTTTGTTTTGATACAAGATTCAGATCTGCAGGGGTTCCCTGAGATTGAAATCTTCAATCCCTTATGAAGCCTGTTCATATAATAATGTATATATGTAATAAAATTAAATGACCCAGAAAATCTAGTCTTTGAAGGCCTGAATTATTTATTCTAGCGCACCCTGTTGGCCAATCAATTTGAATATATACAATTTACAAATGTTGAGCCATGCAAGCAGCATGCTAGGGATGGCAATTGGACCACCACTTTGGTCTAGACTTAAATATCTATGGTATGTATTATATTTTGTACAGATATTTGATTCCCACATGAGTCCTAATGATTTTGGTGATCTTGGGACATTTCCTCATGTGCCACCATGAGATCAATATTTGTGTTTGAGTAAAACGTCTCGACAACTATTGGATGGATTTCCACGTATGTTTTAACTAGGTGCACATTCATGTCTCCCACAGGGGAAACTGTTACAGTTTAGTTGATTCCTTTTGTACTTAACCAAATACCTGTAAATGCTACTGACATTTGCATCAGCCTCAGCTGTTCTTTGTGTAAAGTGCTACTTAGCAAATGTTAGCAGTAGTTCCACCACCAGCCACAATGTATTTTAGGTTTTCAGGCTGTAAGAAGTGGGAGAATAGTGTCCATTGACGGCACACTCACAAGGCGTTAGTCTTGTTTTTCATTTTTCAACCTGACTTCAGATATCGTTACAAGCCAAAGACTGCACTCTAAATTTGACCATTTAAGAAATTTGGTCTGTTATTGTATGTGGGTCAGATTCCCTGATCATTTAGAAGACCGGCTATGAACTTCAGATGCTCCCATATGGTTTCAGATTGGAATATAAATATCTTTATTGATTTTTCAGAGGCGACTTTCAAGCCTACATGCGGTATGTATTATTTAAATGAAAGATTTTATATGGAGTATTCCTTTAAAATCTCATATAAGACTGCAATACATACATATTTGATTTTTAAGTGTTTAATAGCAGACATTTATTTGTCTGAGAACATCTGCTTTCATTAATTAACCTCACAGATGCTTACACAGCATTTGTCCAATGCAGTATTTGAACTTCATATACAGTTTCTGGTTAGTTCTCAGCTCAGTAATTGCAATAGTGAATTAGTATCAGTTTTGCCAAACTAGATATCTGTTGCTAAATACTTGTTGTCTTACAGCTGATGTGGGAACCAAGTGTTCATTTTGATTTGTTTTTGTAACCAAGAAACATTTTCTTGATATAGTATAAAACATAGAACAGTTTTGTGCAATCTGACAACCACGATCACATCAAATTTTTGGAGTTTCCAGAAGTGTAAAAACCGACAAATGGTCACATCCTACCTGACCAAAAAAAATCCATAGACGAATATAAATTTCTAAGGGACTTTAAGGAAATTATTAGGGGGAAGAGGGATCCCAATTTAGGGATGGTTATGCATTTCATTTATTTATTTTTGCTAACAGGAGGGTAGTCTGATTTTTGGGGTGAGAGCAGGGGAGAGTCACAGTCATTATTTCATTCATTAATTTTACTTTCACCATTTTGAATTTCAGGTGTATTGTGGTGCTTAAGTCCATCAGCAGCCACAGGGATAACATCAGTTTATTCATTCAGTGACTGTAAGAACAATCTGTATACTGTATAAGCTCTTCATTCCAAAGAGTGGCAATAATCAACATTTTGTCAAACATTAAGCAATTTATAATTCAAATTCTTATGTGCCCATTGGTGGGCAGTTATTTTATCTGCAACATACTAAGATTAAAATTTCTGCGCACCATGTCTCTTTTAGTTATTAGTAATGAAATGAATTGTACCAATTCAGTTAAAATTTTTTAGAAATTGGGGGAGGGCAGGGTCCAAAGTTAACAGTTTGGCTCATCTGCCAATGGCAGGTAAACAGAAAAATTCAAATTAAAAACTTTATTTTTTTTTACTGGCCCATGCCTTTGACTGACTGACCATGAGTCAGTGGGGAAGGAGCATCCATATCTGGTAGTCAGTGCCAACTAGCCATGAGCAGCTGCTGTCAGACTGTCCATGCTGGAAGCACAGAGAGCTTTGATGTCACTAGAAGCACATTCATGGCCCTTTTGTAGAGTTTCTGTGTGGTACCCACCTGTGTTGTAGCTGAGCTAGCGGAAAGGCTGAGAGGCTCCGGTGTGTGTGTGTCTGTGGGAGAGTGCCAGTATGTAGTTGTGGCCCTACTGTTCATGGTAATGTTAAAGGCTACAGTTCGGGGAGGGTGTTATAGTTTTTATAAGTCAAGAGGAGGGTCCAAAGAAAATGAATTTCTAATACTTTCTGTGCAGTCCCTAAATTAAAAGACCCCATTTGAATTGAACACAATGTATACTCAAAACAAAGAAACAAGTTGTAATGGATCATTTTATTGAATGTAAAATGTAATATACCAACATGATAATGACCTCATTCACTTCAAAAGCCTGTTCTTGCATTTGGGAAAGAGCACAGTCTTTAAGAAGCACCACTGACAACAATCATCCAAGGTCAAAACTTGTGTGACACATGCTGAAAGTAGAGCCTACTGGCAACCTGATCTTTTTTTTAATGACAAAACCAATCAAATGAATGATTGTTTTTTTTTCTTTTAAACAATCTACACATTACTGTGAATAGCTTTCATTGCCAAACAAATTACAGAACTAATTTTAAATATACATCAAAATTATAATGTTCACTGAAATCACATATAGACATCAAATTTACAAAAATATTCCACAGCACCATTAAGCAAACACATTAATATTGTAATTGTAAAAAGCTTCACTAGTTTGGTTCACATGGGAATGAATCAGAAAAAAGCTAACCCTCCCGCTGCTGAACCGGAAATCGATCTCAGCGCGCCAATACTGGAGAATACACTGGAGTATCATTTGCAAAGCCTTTTTGGCAGTCGTGAAGTTTAAGAGAGCCATGACTCTATGGGGTTCCCATGTATTCATCAGTTGTATTAGTTATTTAAAATGATCAAATGTGCGATCCAACGTTCTGCCCTTCACTTTTTGTGTATGGGCCAACCATCGGGACAGCTGGCCCGGCCCGTGGCTTAAGCGACATTGGTGTTTGCCTTCGGCTGTAAAATATCAGGGGGTGGTGCAAGAGAAAGTTTTTGACTCTGCACTAATCAACTCAGCCCAGCTGATGAGACACTGGCGTAAGCCGTGACACTAATCAAGTGCACTTTGAGCCCAGACAGTTGTGACGACGGATGTAACTGGTAGAGTTTTACAATATAAACATCTTAAAACTGAGGTTTGTTTGGGACAGTGAGCTACACTTTATCAGAGCTGTTGAAGTTCACGTGTGTGGATTTATGGCAAGATTTCTGCATGATCAGTAGTGTTTTCGGTTGGTCTCTGTTTCATATGCAGCCCCAAACTGTGTCGGTCAAACAGTCTAAAGAAGACAGCCTATGACCGGCTGAGCAATAAAGTAATGCACAGCAGAGTAGGCTATAGGGCAGGTAGACTTTCTAAAAATAAAAATAAATATAGCCGCGAGCAGCAATGATCGGGATCCAAGCAAGTTGTGAAAAACGCATCATTTGTCATTTTGACACATCTAACAAGTTGAGGTAGTGACGTCACATGTGCCAGACCTGGATAGTTTTGTCAGTTTAAACTTAAAACGCTTACAACTGTCGAGATGTGGCGAGAAAATTCTGAAAAAAATCACGGATCATTCTGCCGGTTTTGGGTGTGTTCGGAATTATTTTGGTGGCATTTGATCCAAAACTGAGTTAAAAAGAAAATGTTGTGCATACTGTACAAGTTACAGCAAGATAATGAATATCACTACAGACTCACTGTTTGACCGATCTGAAAACGCTTTGAAACACGTATATATCAGCCATCTGGAGAACGACTCTGTCGAGTTTGGTTGCGTTTGAAGAAAGACTTGGAGATACAGATGTTAATTGATATATTCTGAAAAATATAGAGTGACTGACTTCTGAATTGACCAAAGGTTACAGTGAGGCAAACATTAGTCATATATCAGTGGATATGCTGAAAAAAATTCAGCTCTCTAGGACATACGGGTGATTTTCTTAGATTTTTTGAAGTTAGGAATGACAAATGTCTAGAAATGTACATTTCTTGCAATAAGCCACGCCCACTTTCCGCAATCATTACCAAATTTTTTACATGAAGTAAGTAGTGGACCTAGATCGTGCAAACCGAATTTCTGTCTGACGGCAATGACGTAATTAACGGCGCCGAAATAACGATCGGTGTAGTGTGCGAAAGTGTTATAGTGTTATAATGAGAGTGAGCTCACTATATAGTGCTCTACATACAACTCCCTACATAGGGGGTAGGGAGTAGTGAATGAGTGGGGATTTCGGACACAGCCTATGACTTTGAGATGTGTCTACATATCATATTTTGACAGACATGTTTCTTGATTGGGAAGATACGATCTGTAGCATTTATGTTAATGCTGGTCTGCTCATCTGATAGCGGTTGGCCATAACAAAACATGTTCTTCCCGAGTGGGCTGGGAACCTACGAATGCAAACAAAGGCGCTATAAGCAAGGTCAACGTGTTTCAATATATCAAAAACCTTATGTCCACTCGTTCAGGGGATTGAGCTGAATCTCCTGGTATAGGCCACCCCCATTTCCGCCTAAACTTTTTTTTTGCTAAATTGCAAAATCGACACCAAATTTGGCACGGATAATCTCTGGACCAAGCTAATGAAAGTTTGTAGAGGAAATTTTGATCCGATTAAAAATGTCGCAATTATAGGCTAACAAATGTTTGCACAAAACGCTATAAACAGGAAGTTATGTCATATCTTCACTTCGGAATGGCCGATCGACACCAAATATGGAACAATTGTGTGGGATGCCCCCTGAGGGCCTGTGCAAAATTTGGTACAAATAGCCCCTAGGCGGCGCTATTTAATCTGAAAAATTTGTTCCTCTATAACCTCTATAACAAGACACATTGACATGAAACCTGTTTTGAATTATTAAGCATGGTCCCCTCACTATAGGCACCAAAGTTGCCCCAAATATGCCCATAGGTGGCGCTGTTATTGCAGATTAAAGACCAAAAAAAATCCCATTGACTTACATGCATATTATATCTCCATAACCACAAGTCCGCTTCATGCCAAATTTGGGTCATTTGTTCCCTATGGGCCCCTGATCACACCTGAAAGATTTGGTGCAATTCGGCTTATAGGTGGCGCTATAATTGGAGCTCAGATACCATCGGAAAATCCCTTTCATTTCAATGGGATTTTGAACCAAAGGACATTTTGTCTCATAACTATGCGCCACTACATCGCACGTTCATAAACCGTATGTCTACGTGTTTGGGGGATGCTGCCAATTCGTATGGTATAGGACACGCCTCTGTGCAATGACGTTTTCATTTTGCTAAATTGCAAAAACTGGAAAACCTATTTTAATTAACTCCTCCGAAACCGCAAGTCTGATCACCACATCTCTGGACCGAGCTGATAAAAGTTTGTAGAGGGAATTTTGATTCGCCAAAAAATGACCTAATTACAGGCTAACAAATTGTTGCCAAAACGCAAAAAAATGGATGTGATGTCATATCTTAGGTTTGCAATGGCCGATCTACACCAAACTCAGGGACCTTGTCTGGCACGCCCTCCTAAGTGGTTGTGGGAAATTTGGTGTCAATCGGCCTCTAGTTAGCGCTACTAAGCGTATATCAAATAACACTCCTATAGACATACATTCATTTTATATCTCCGTCAACGCAACTTGCTTTCAAACTGTGGCCGTTTATTCACCACGGGTCCCCAGAGCCGCAGCGGGGCGCCCGGGTGGATTCACGCAGCCTCCGCGGGGCGAGGGGGGCGGCTGGCGCCGGGAGGCTTTGACCCTGCTTACAACTGCTTGCAGTTCTAGTTTTAATTTACGTTGCTTTAAAATGACAGCTCAGAAGCAAGAGCTCCTCTCTCCTCACACTTCTCTGCTCGCAATTCGGGGTAGGAGGCACTAAGACGTGCGACGAGGAGAGAAATCGCGGAGGTACAAACTGAGAAATGAGAAAGGCGTTGGGAATTGAGATTTCTTCAAGATGGCATGCTAAAATCGATGGTGGACGGAGGAGCAAGGAGATGAGGTGGCACAAAGTAAAAGTACTCTTCGTAGTGCTGACAATTTCTACATTCAGTATTTGTTGATAACACAAACAATTACGTACTTGTAACACATAAATGAACGTACTTTCAGATATTCCATATCATAGCAACCAAAGCATCTCAGCTGGAAAATAAGCTGCACATCCAAAGTTGTCTCTAATGCTTTCAGATGGGAATAATAATAATTTGTGGCCCCCTTATGGTGTTTAATAACTTTGACCGTTTACATTCCAGGTAAAAAAGGTTTTCTGTTACCTTATTGAAATAAAGGTTTGTTGTTGAACAAACCTGCAGTGAACTGAGTGTCATGAATAGCTGACTTGAACTGATGCAAATTTGGCAGTACAATAAGAGCTGTGGAGTCATCCTAGGTAATCCTTAACTGCTAAAAGCATGGCTCTTTAAAGTCAGTGTCAACGGAAATTATTTCTCAGTTTACATAAACAGGTGTTTCAGTGTCTGACAGCTGGGCCAGATTGCCCCATGCGCAGTCTTTAAAGGAAAACTACCTCTTTTTGAAATCGCTAAATTTCCTTCCTATTGCTCTCCTGACCAGAAAAAACTGTCTCACTTCTGGCACTGAACACTGCAGATGTGTTTTCAAGCTGTGTGACTTTTTGAGTCTCTGAACTGCAACCGTGAGACTTGAAGTCATATCTGACTCACCTGGTGCTGGCAGTATCAAGTTCCAGTGATTAACAGCAAACAGGACGGTTGAGATGAACAGCTAAACTCTTGAACTTGGAGCCGGTTGCTTCTCATTTGACTTGAGAGGAGCTGTTTGCAGGGAGCTCTGTTTGGATGCAGGAGATTTTTTCTCCTATTATTTCCAGTGAGCTCTCTCCATGCGAGGAACTTGAAGGGCCTTTCACTGCTGAGTGCGGCTCGGAGCTCTTGCCTTCATCTGATTCCAGGAAGGCTTCTCTACATTGGGGTTTGATGAACTGCACGCTCAGTCTGGGCCCCACCGCAGCGCCACCCTGCTGGTTAGGTTTGCGGATGCAATGGGAGAGGGTGGACACGCAGCTCTTTTTGAAATTCTCATTCATGAAGGCATACACGATAGGATTGTTGAAGCTGTTGAAGAACCCGATGGCCTGAACAATGGCGATTATCATGTTAAGTGTGACTCCGTCATATTTCTTCTCCAGGTCATCTGGAAAATTACACACAGAGAGAAGTCACAACTCAAACAGAGACTTTACATAAATGGCAATATGCACTTAATCTACACTACTGTTCAAAGGTTTGGAATCACCTGTTTTTGATGTTTTCCTTCAATAATGGTTATTTTAACATAGATAAAAACAGTATAATTCAGTCATCAAATGAATTATTTACATTTAAAATAGTTTGTCCCAAAATAAGAATAATTATATTATTAAAACTTCCATTTTGTTGATGTCCCCACAGTGTTGCATGACAGGGGAGAATATTGTTGTTTTCCATTCAAGAAAAGCATAAGTGACCCTAGATCAATTGGGTTCTCATTGGTTAGAGTCCATAGGTTTGAACTGTGATTTGTAAGTCCATAGTCTGTTAAGCTCATATTCTGAGATCCAATTCCAATAGTTCTAAGCCTAGACTAGCCTTCTATTTCTATTTTAAAAGCAACATGACTGCATATTACAGCTTGTTATAGGCATTATTGTCACTTGACAATAAAACCGGTACCTGTTCCTGTTAAAATCTGCAAAGATAAAATTCCAATTTCTTTTACCAGTGACTTGTGATTTCCTGTACTCATATTTAACTGTTGCTGAGAGGTATTATTCTTTTTCTCTCATCTGGTTGAACCATTTCACAGCATTTTGTTAACCATGTATGAAACATTCCTTTTCTGCAAACACTTCATGCAAATTAAAATCTATTTGTAAAGGGGATTTCTGAAAGTCCATTCAAAAATATATAGTCCTCTCAGGCATCTGACTGTACCAGATAATGCTTTTGAACAGTAGTGTAAATCAAGAAATACTTCCTATTTTCATTTCACATTAAAATTCATATAAACTCCAGCAATATTTACAGTACTCAAACAGCATGTGGACTGTGTGGAACGGTGCCCAGCAAATGGTGAATAGAAGAACGATGGTGATCATCATTTTAACGGCTCTTTTCTTTTTCCTGTAGAAGGTAAAAACAAAAAGTATAGAAAACCTGATGACAGAGGTAACGGAATACAACAATCATGAGTTACAGCAGATGCCCTGTGGCACTTTTCCATTAAAGTGTGCCAGTGAGCTCATTGACCCACTTAAATGGACACAACAGTGAGTGGGCATGTAAAATATCAGGACCCTGGCAGCCACACACCTGAACTGACTTCAGTCATTTTCCCCCTTGTTCTCCCCAGGCTTGAAATGCCAATACCCCTGACCTGTAGTCTTATAACCCACTGTTGGTCTGGGGAGAGAGGACAACCACGTGTCTCTTGTGATAAGAGGTTGTCCTTTCCAAAAACAGCTTAAAAAGACACATGTTTATGTTTTCCTGAGAATTGACAAGGGTTGGTTATTGCTGAGTTTACCAAATCTGAATATAATTCCCACTCTGTTTATTGTTTCCCACAAAGAAACTAAATGTGTTATAAGCAGAAAACTTCTTTAATTTCAACAAATTCTGTGTGCCATAAATACTGTTTTGCAGTATTAAAGATCTGTGATTCTCCTCCTTGTTTCCTCTACTACTGCCAAACTCTCAACCAAGTACACAACACAGTAATCAGACAACAGTACTGTACCATATCTATTTCTGTGCTCAGAGCTGTTAGGCATTTAAGATTCTGTTCATGGAAACACAACAGCGCTTCATAAGGTTTTTATTGTCAAGGAGCTACAGCTTTGCATTGCCTTAAAGACTCCGAATAATAATTTTTGAAGACATATAAAAAAAGACTGTGTGGCTGATATGGTTGTTCAACAACAACAAAAAAAGACGCTGCCGGTGTGTTGCCCTTTAATCACCGACATTAACATAGTAACATCTGACATTTTGACATCCTGTCACCTGTCCTCTCCACAAAATCTCCTGCATTGGAACTTGTTCATACTGTCTAAAACTACAGGTGATTGCATCGGACGAAACACTATCTGTAGCAAAGCAGAAAGTAGCAAACCCAAGGTGAAGTTGGATGAATGGGTGTACAAAGCCTCTATGTTTGACTTTGACCAAAAAGACAAAGATTTTTCCCTACCCCAGACATAACTATAATTTATTTGATATGACATGACAATCTTTCCTTACTTTTAGAGGCCTAAACTTGACAAGTTGAAAGGACCAACATTAACTTTTGGTAGGCAACAGATGCAAACAGCACTCTCCATTGTCAAGCATCCATCGGTAGACAACATCAAAAAGTTTAATGTAATAAGTTGCCTAAAGTTGAAATGTTTAGGCAATCACAAAGCAAGTGCAGGTTGTCTTTCTCCTTCTTGCAGGTACAGTGACCAACCATTAGGAACTGCTTGTGCAACTACAAGGGCATGATCCCTTACTGTCTTTCGACCCTCAACCACTGCCATTTTTGTTTACTAGAACTCAGAAAAAAGCCTAAAATACCTCAATAGACATAATGATTAGAATAAACCTTTTTATGTGGTCAAAATGTACACTTCTGTTGTTTAACCTACCTTGAGATCTTACTGATCTCCCTGTTGTTCATGGTGTTGAGTACTGAGGAGTCACCCACCCTCTTGCGTATCCACAACTCAATGCTGATACGTGTGTAGAGGAACAGCATGGCTGCCAGAGGGAGCAGGAAGAGAGCCACCATGATGAAGGTGGTGTACGCCTGCCTGTGAGTCAGAGAGCGCCAACTCTCCTGACAGCACACGTGATAGTGATCATACAAGAAGTCGTACTTCACCTTTGAGAGGGAGGGAGAAACACATTTTATTCTCGGAAGAACAATCAAGACAGATAAAGTGGCCCTGACTGACAGGGTGGTATTATGTGAGACTCTGTGACACGTGATTACAGCTTCTGCGGAGTACATCATGACACACAAACTCTTGGATTGCTCTTCTCACAATTTTGGAGTGCCCAGTCTCCTATAGACTGCAGTCCTTGTCACTGCTAACCCTCCTCTTGCTGATGGTCACATAATGTTGCAGCCACTTTGATGAGCTTCACTAAAAGCTTTGCTTGAGTTCTCTCTTCCCTAGTCACTGAATAATATGAGTAATATTATTCATAAACACAGTGTACAAATTGCCAAAATGACATCTACTGATACTGAATCCTAACACTAGGTCACAGTTAAGCTTCTTGAGCCCTGTATGATATTGTAATATACTATAATACTATAATATCTCTGTTGGTACCTTATAATGAGCTTAAAATTATATAATACTTAAAATACCTAATTCCAGCAAGATATTCCTAATATAACTTGTTGTAAATAAAATAAAGAAATTTAGGATTCTTGACTCATGGCGTATGCAAATATTGTGTTAGTATTAGGGTATGATCGTTTTTTCATTTGATATCAGTATAATAAATATAGTGCCTATCCTGTCCAAAGTCTCTCCAGATAACAGGGAAGCCATTTGTCTGCCTACTCTGGGATGTTGACATTGTTAATTTTTGGCAGATTACTGTGTGGCTTATTGCCTTTCATGGCCTCTTCTTGGTAAACTATATTAAAGAGGCCATGAAAGGCAATAAGCCACATAGTAATCTGCCAAGTATCAACAACACCAACATCACACGAGCGCAGTTGGCTTAGTTGGTTGAGCGCCTGCTCTATGTGCAAGGCTCAGTCCTTATAGCTGCGGCCCCGGGTGAGATTGCAGCATGTCATCCCCTCTCTCTCCTTAATTTCCTACTTCTCTCTAACCTATCCAAATAAAGGCTAAAAATCCCCAAAAATATATTTTTAAAACACAACACCAACATCACTTAAGCACAGACAAACAGTTTTTTCTTACTTACTTAGCTCTGTGTGTTTGTCAAAGATACCTGGTTCAACTCCAAGATAATTAATTATTCAGTTAACTCACAAACAATAAACTACAAGTTAATGCCCAGTTTTTATTGTCCACCCTTCTGTTTGGCAAACCTCCCGATGACTTTAGTCAGAAGAACACACAACCAAAAAAAAACTTCTCTGCCTTACCACATCTGTGCACCAGATGTTTTTGACAATAACTTAGTCCTTGTAGACTGCAGCAGAGTGGAACCAACTATCCCAGGGAAAGAAATCCAGCCGGCGCTTATTTAAAACGGAACACAGCTGCACCAGATGTATTCTGCAACTTATATAACTGACACATTTTGGTCAAAATACATTCCTTATAAAATTAAGCATTTTGAATTCTATTTGTCCATCAAGACAAAGCAAGGCAAAGGCCAAAGGATCCCTTCAAGGGGTACCAGGACAATGGTTTATGCATAGCCCACTGCATGTTATTAAATATGAATATATTTTCTGCCTTACAGAATACAGTTGTAGCCTAACTGTTTTAAATCAGTAAAAACAGTAATATTACATTTATGTAAAAAAAAAAAAAAGAAAGAAAAGGAAGTCTTCTGGCCTTTTATGGAGACCCTTGGTGAGTGTGGGCCCTGGGTTTGCCGCCCTTCTCGCCACCCCATAAAACCCACTATAGTGTATATTGCAGATGTCCATTAAGCCAATTTTGTGTATTTTATGTTTGTTTTGGGATAAAAACAACAGAACTGATAAAAGAGACCATGTTCACATGCATGTGTCTATGTGTGTTTGTAATTTACATGACTGTGTATGCATTGATTTGTACTTGCAAGAGTGTGTGTGTATGAAAGTGAATATAAATGTATATAGTGAAATCATTCAGTGTTCACTTCTACATCATTGTTTAAGCCACTGTTTCACTTGTATATCAAAAACCTGATATTCTGGTCTTTTTAATTCTGGTTGTAAGGCAAGACTTTTTGATGGCTAATCAAACTTTTTAAAACAATATAGTAACCATGTGCCGTCCTTACAGTAGTGTTCCTTGGACATGACCTGTTTTGTTCGGTATCCCCAAAGCTGACCCTCACAATATGTTTTGAGCAAATCTTATCAATTCAGAAAGAATGGCATTATACCAGTGTTTTCTGACAGGATACAAAAACATGTCTGAAATTACAGAGGAGCCAGCATTTAGCAGGACTATCTGCAGCCAAGTCTGAACGACCATCGTTGACATCTTCACCTGAGGCCAAGAGGTAACGCTTGTTAAGTTTCCTGGGAAGTGATGAAAGGACATCATTGTGATTGGGGATAAGTGGTGGGGTAGAGCCCCTCCTCTGTTCAGCTTCCTTGACACTTCTTTTAAACCATCCATTCTCTCTGTCTAAAATATGCACCTGATGGTCCTCAAACGAGTGTCCTTGATCCTTCAGATTAAAGTAAACTGCTGAGTCTTGACCTGAGGAGTTAGCCCTTCTGTGTTGAGCCATAGCGAGCTACCAGTTTTCAGCCACTTAATGCAAGACTCCTCTCTTCTTACTGTGTATGTGTATACACAGTAAGACTGTAAGTAAGACAGTAACTGAGTATAGGTGCAGCCCTCTAAGGTTATTGCTATTGGGTTTACCCCTTCCGCGCGCCTGCGTGTCGCTGAGAATTTTAGTCTACGCCCACCCACAGCGTGGGCCTCTCCTATGTCTGCCCCCCACCCAGTTTCCCGACTTACTCATGGGTCGGCCCTCAGCCTCCCATGGCACGCCATCGGTGCTCGCGCGCACGCCGACACCAGTGCCGCGGCTAGCGGGTGACTGGGTGGTTCATTATGGCTCTGGGCAGGTGAGTTGTGCTTGGTGGTACCGTATGGGCCAGTGAGGCGTTGACTCATCCTGCTTCACCTCTAACCCAATAGCGATAGCCTTAGAGGGCGAAGCCTATACAAATAGAACGGGGTTTACGTACTGTAACCCGGATTCTATGAGTATAGACGCAGCCCTCTAAGTTGTAGGCCCCACTGGACCTCGGTTCTCAGTGCTGAGGAAAAAAGGCATTTGGGAGCTGATGGCAGGGCCTCACCATTGTATGTATACAAGGTGCGGACGTAGGAGAGGCCCACGCTGTGGGTGGGCATAGACTAAAATTCTCAGTGCCGCAAACCCAATAGCGATAGCCTTAGAGGGTGAAGCCTATACGAAATAGAACTGTGGCAGGTTAGCTTAAAAAGCAACAATGTAATGTTCACATAGTTTGAGGCTGTGCTGGAGGACTGAAAGTTAACAAGATGATCTTAGACTTTCTTTCTGAAATATCTTCCGCTACTTGAACTAAAAAGAATCTACTACTTTACCCAATCCTTGAATTTCTCTGTCTGATTTCCTTTGTATTTTAGGTACACTCTTGATATTTACAGCAATTCTATGCTCTTCTGTACTGAATCAGTTATTGCGCTGTACAACAAGAGTGTGATTTTGCTTTGCTGTCACAGCTGAAGGATGCTAATGAAAGGAATTTTGTGGTGGATTGCTTTGAAGGGCACTACTTACCTCTAATTGTTGCACAAACAGCATTGGTGAACCCACTATCACTGACACGATCCATACCAGCCCTGCAGGATGCACACAGATAAAATATTTACAACTTGATTACATTTAGTTCAAATAATATACATGGCATACAGTTTGATACGTATAGTAGCTGCCAAGATAATTCAAGCAGAAAAACTTGTGTGCAACTAATGCCAAACAGTACTCACAGCAGCTGCACAATTTAATTTCTCTTTTACATAATTCACAAGCTGCCAATCATGATGAGTCTCTGCAACATTGTTTTCAATTCCAACCGTGAGGATGCAATGCTCCGATTTACCACAGAATGCTACGTATTCACTTGATTAGACATTGTGATTGATGTCACCTGTTTTGGTGCAAATAAAAGTGACAACAGGTGTAACAAGGCAGCAGCAAGACAACTGCCCAAAAAGAGACTGGTTTTGCATGTGGTGGACACAGGCAATTGCTCTCTCCTTATCCTTCCTGACCGATTTTGCATTTTGCTAGTGTCCATGGGCCTCATGTTTAAAAGACTGTACAGCTTTCATACTGAAAGATGCCGTACTCACAGAATTTGAAAAGTATGTACGCACAGAAATATCCACATGTATAAAAGCAGGCATTCACCGGGTCCACCTTTCCTTTATACATCCCAATCAACGTGAAATTGAGAAATTGAGTGCACATGCATGAGCCCCACAAATTACTATGCAAATTACCTTAAACATGCCAACCTCACCTCCTAAGGTCCAAATTACAACGGCCAATCCTGCTGCATAACGCGTGAAAAAGAGAAACTTCTTCAAAGCATGGGCGTAAATTTCAAAACAGTTGCAGGGGCACATTAAACATAAAATTTCTCAAGAGCAATTTTTGAAGGGGACATTTTAAAATATATTTTACTTAAAAATATTTGAAAGAATCCCTTAACCTATTTCTAATCTCAGCATTTTAATTCTAATTAATTTTCCACCTTATTTTAGTATTTAATCACAAACAACAATAATCTGCTCACCTTGCTTTTCACTTCAGACACATATGCACACACCTACACCTGTCTCTTTCTCTCCCTCCCACCCTGTACCTATCTGCTCTGACTTTATTTATTAGCAGTTTTACAAAAAGACATCTCGCGTTTCGTACTTTTCACCCGCGATTCCATTTCACAGTAGAGGAGGCCTGTTGTTAATTACCAATAGAGACCACCGTGGTATGAATGATATCGTCACCAACAGCTGTGTTCACTGTTGCTTTACGTGGTCCTTGCTTTCTAATATCCATCGTTGCATGGGCGGATCTACCGGGGTGGCAAAAGATCCTAAAAGAAAGCCTTGCCACCCCAGTTGGCAGCAACGAATTAAAAGTTATGGCCAATTTGATAATTTACGAGCCTTAATCTCCAATGTCTAGTGAATGCAGCACGAGATGACGCCAGAGCGGCAAGAGACTGATTTCTTTGGAAAATTTATTTATTTATTTAAAATTTCACACACATAGATACCAAAAAAAATTAAGGAAATCTTAAAAGAAAAAAAATGCATGTGAGGGTGTGATAGAAGTCAATAATGGCTTATACGAATAACCATACCCAGAAAACATAACATACAGTAAAGACACAATACAAAATCACAAATACATTTTAAATATTAGTAACAGTGAACATTAAAGTAATAATAAATTAAAAGTAGAAAGAAATAAAAAAAAATACAGAGAAGCAGGAGTTATTTTCTAATGTATAGAATGAATGAACCGCCATTTTCTTTTTTTTTTTTTTATATAAGTAACCATTTTACTTTGAACTCAAATGTTTTTTGACAGCAGGGCATTTCTAAGTCTCTTTTTGTACCCAGATAATGACACAGAAAAATCCATTAAATGCACATTTTCATTCCACAAGATAACTCCACGATGTTTAATAGAAGAGCAATTCTATGCTCTTCCACTTGATGTTTTATACAGAGGACGATGAAGATTTTTAGCTTGTCTAGTTCGATAATTATGGAACTGTGAATTATTTGCAAAATAATATCTAAACATATGAGGTAAATCTGTATTCATGTATCTCACTTTAAAAACAAATGTACAAGTTTGAAGAATGTTGATGTCAAAAATAGTCAACACCTTCATTTTAAAAAAGAGAGGTGTACGTGGTACAACAGGTTTGGAAAGAGATGCTAATTTAATAAACCTTTTCTGGAGCAGCAATATTTTGTCAAGATAAGTTGGAAAAGTACTTGTCCATACAATATTGCAATATGTTAAATATGGATAAATTAAACTATAATATAACATTAAGAAACATGCGTTGTGTACAAAACCTCTTATTTTTCTCATAATCCCGAGAGCTTTAGAAATCTTACTGCAGACAAAACCAACCTGTTCTCTCCAAGAGAGCTTATCATCCATATGGATACCCAAAAACGATGTTGATGAAACTTTGATTAATTCGTCATTATGAATATAGAGTTTAATTAGCTCACTGTCATATTTCTTATTTCCTGCGAATAACATGAAGTTAGATTTTTTGATATTTAATGACAACTTATTTGTTTGAAACCATATACAGTAATTATACAGATCATGATTAAGTTCTCTACAAAGAGCTGTCAGATCTCTATATGAGACCAAAAGGTTGGTGTCACCTGCAAACAGCAAAGGAAAGTGGTTTTAGATACTGCAGCAAGATCATTTATATAAATAAGAAATAGTAAAGGTCCTAATATGGATCCTTGAGGTACACCATACATTATTTTATTACATTTCAACTCTTGACCATTTATAAAAACATATTGCTCTCTATTAACAACATAATTAACAAGCCACTTATACATGTTACCATGAAATCCATATCTATATATTTTTGAAAGCAAAATAGCATGTGTGTCAAATGCTTTTGAAAGGTCTAAAAATATGCATATTCATTATTCAGTGGAATGATTTTTCTGGAATCCATACTGATGATTATAGAGAATATTGAACGTGTTCAATTGTTTCAGGATTCTATTATACACTAGTTTTTCCAATATTGAAATTGGACGATAGTTTGTAAAGGATCCTAGATCACCTGATTTAAATAGTGGAATAACTTTAGCCAGTTTCAGGTCAGTATTAAGCCACTTTCCATTGATGATGCAAATATAAATGTTAATGGCTCACTAATATAAGTAATGACTTCTTTGATTAAGGAGGAACAAATTCCATCATGACCTGGAGATGATTTTTTGAATTCACCACAATATCATTCACCTCCTTAGGGTCAGGCAGATCAAAGTTATTAAAAGAAAACTATCCTTTATATAATCTAATGGGTTAACTTTTGTATCAGTTATCTTTTTGGCAAGAGATGCACCAACATTTGAAAAGAAGTCATTAAGCCTACAAGCTATATCAAATGGATCAGTAAAAGTAGAATATCCATCTATAAAGATTGAAGGAAATTGAGCGGAGGCAGTTTTTCTTTAAGTAACTGATTTATAATTTTCAAAAACTTTCAAAAAGTGGTGGCTACATTTCCACAGCGTCCCCAATGTAAATGAGCCTCCCTCCCTGCTCCCTCCCTACAGGCTGAGCTGCTCCATGCTTACCGCTTCACCTCCACCCTCTTCCTGCTCACTTTCTCACTCGGCCCTGTCACTTTGTCACTCTGTTTCACTGTCTCACGCCTCCTCCTCTGCCTGGCAGTGGCTACAGCTCTTTTACTCCTTCAAGTGCCTGTGCCTGCTCTATGCAGGGTACCGCAGCTGATGAAGCTACTGCAGCCCCGGTAGCAAACATGAAGATGAATGATTTTTTTTGTGGCTCGTGACGCAAGAAACAGAGAGCAGAGGGGGTGGGGGCTACTAAGAGATGTGATTGGGCCAGCCCAATGTCAGTATAGAAAACTACCCAATGGGCCGCTGTCCGTGCTTTATGGGCCGATTGTTGGCCCATTTAAAAAAAAAAACAGTTACTGTATATAAATAAATAATTTACGTTACACCAGCCCCAAAGGCTCGTCGGCCTTCCAGGCATTTGCCTGGTATGCCAGATTACCAATCCGGCCCTGGCTCCAAAGTGTTAATGAGACTATTATTAAAACGAATAATGTCGGTATTTGGTGATCGATAAATACTACCAATTACCATATTTTTGTTATTTTTGTAAGACAAAATTTCGATGAAGACCGATTCAACCTCTTCATCAGAATTTAGAAAGGTCCTGTCTATTAACAAATACAAAGTTTTGATAAACTAAACTCCTCCTCCTCCAGACCGGGACTGTCTGCTGATGAAGTGAATAGAGTTATATGATGGCAATTTGTAAAAGCCTAGGCCTTTAGAATCTTTTTAAGCAATTATAGAACTCATATTGATTCGATTTAATGAAGATAAAAAATTTACCATCTGATCATAATTTTTAGGGAGAGTGCGAATGTGCAAAGTGCAAAACTGAAAATAAATTGCAATCAACTGGAAATGAATCCATAAAGCAGTTAAATTGGGGTTCACTGTAGTATTCACAAGAGTATGAATTGTTAGTAGCTGAAAAAAAGTTAACATCGGGGTCAGAAAATTTATCATGGCAATCAATTTCATGTCTGTTGAGTTCAAATGGATTAAATAACATACTATCATCAACTGTAAACCTTTGTTTTGTAATAAGACTGACAGACAGACATACACTAAATTCATCATCATTAAGTGAATAGAAAGGAGGAGGAGAACTGGGGCACAATTTTCACAAATCCATGACATCCAAATGTCAGCTGTCATTTTAGTCACTGGTGTACATTTTAAATGACAAAGGGAACAGTCAATGCCTGAGCCCACAGATTTTTGGTATTTTAAACATATATATTTCTGACTCATGTAAATTTGTGACAAGCAAAGTGTGTAAAATAGTTTCATAGACGCTCTCACTCTAAACTGTAGGGAAATCACTTCCTTATTCCCTAGGTTTTGTAGAGGGACGGTGAGTAATCAGCTTATCATTTCTCAGGTAAGCAATGTCTCCTCTGTTTCTGTCCTCTTTCATTGCTGGGGTCAGATCCTTGCATTTCAGCCGAAAAGCTTCCGAG